TGTCTTCAGCTGCTGGTGGTGCCAGGAGGCTCTGGGGATCACTGACGGCTTCCCTTCTACATCTGTCTCACCCTGTGTGGCCTTGTTATCCTGATCCTGAGGGACCAGGGCATCTCCAGAGCAGGGGAGACAGATTTGGCCCCAGGAATTCAGCAGGGCCTGTTTCTCTAGGCACTGTTGTTAGATGCTTTGTGAACATTTTGGGTTGGACCTTCCAGCAGAGACACCCGAGGGTGTTGGTTCTCTCGTTAAAAGCCTCTCAGAGATCAAACAGCCCAACCTCTTCTTGGATTTACATTTTTTCTAGACTGTTTAACCTGAGTTGGGTTCAAGGGGATGGTTTCTTGCATCCTGAAAGCTGCTTCCTTAGAGGGGAAGAAGTCTGTCCTTGAACTCCTGCTAAAACTTCCACGGTCACTGAAGGCTGGACAGGGTTAGGAGCAGCCTGGGATAGTGGAAGGTGTCCCTGCCCGTGGCAGGGGGTGGAATGAACTGAGCTTTAAGGTCCCTCCCAACCCAGACCTTGCTGGCATTCTGTGAGGTGGACAAATGACTGAGTGCAGTGAATTCCTGCTGAAGGGCTCCAGTTGTCCCAGGTGTGGAGCAGTTCTGGATGGGGACACGCAAGGGCACAGGAATAATTCAGTGTCTCGAGGGAGATGATTCCTTGAATGCTCTGCTTTGTCTGCTGTGAGGAAACTCACTTCAACTGCCTGCTCTACCTCCCAGAACTGCTTGGAAAATCACCCTTGGAATTTCCAGGCTCTGTGGGAGGTGGGAACATGGATAAGGTCCATATTGATCACAGGCAATCCCAGACTGGTTTGGGTTGAAAGGGACCTTAAAGCTCATCCAATCCCACCCCCTGCCATGGGCAGGGACACCTTCCACCAGCCCAGGCTGCTCCAAGCCCCGTCCAACCTGGCCTGGGACACTTCCAGGGATCCAGGGGCAGCCACAGCTTCTCTGCCCAACCTGTACCAGGGCCTGCCCACCCTCCCAGCCAGCAATTCCTTCCCAGTCTCCCATCTAATCCTGCCCTCTGGCAGTGGGAAGCCAAGAGTCACATGTTGCTGCCCTCTGGAGCAAGACTTGGTGCCCTGGCTGTGCACCTCCCAGGGAAGGACTTGGATTGCCAAGGGAACCAGGGAAATGGGAGCAGGGAAATGGGCATGTGCTGAAATCCCAGTCCTGTTTGATAAATGCAGCTTTCTGTAAAGAAAGGATTTATATGTGAGGTTTTTATGTGAAAGCTTGTGGCCCAGTGTGACGTGTTCAACCTGGAGCAGCCTGACAGCTCTCTCTGTAGTAAACAATTTCCAGCTGTGCAGTGTCCTGACAGCGGGAACGGCTGGATACCCTCGGAGCTCTGTCACGCTCTGCTGGTTGGGAATTAGAGCTGGAAAGCCAGGATTGTTCCCAGGCCCTTTTTGCTTCCCTGTGCTGCTGCTCTGCAGCCTCCCTGCAAGATAGCAGGATTGCCTTTCATTCTCCTTGCCCCTCCAGAGGGATGGAAATCTCTGGCTACATCCCTTACAAACCAGTTGAATGCTGCCGTTGAAATTCCTAAATTCCTAAAGTTGTCTGTAATTGAAGCCCAGATTGGGAGGGGAGGAGCCCTGAGCGAGGAAGTTCAGCTGAGCCCTTGTTTACACGGGTGAAATATGTAAACACTTCTTTTTCCCCAAATATAGGGCTTTTTTCCTTGGCTGCCGGCCCGGTGTTTATAAAAGCCAGTTATGTAAATGACAATCCCAATAATTAAGCTGCTGTGTGCTGCTGTCCCGGGGCTGCTCCTGCTGCAGGGCTCGGTGCTACCGGGCTGCCCTGATCGAGCTCCGAGGGTCATTAGAGATAAGGAAATGAAGGGAACCCGAAATTAAACAAACACAATTCTCCTCAGAGAGAATCTCCCACGAGAAAGGCAAGACCTGGAATGAAAGGGTTTGATGGTCCCCTCCAGCCCTGCTCAGGCAGAGCCTCCCAGAGCTGCTTGCCCAGGGCTGTGTCCCGTTGAGTTTGACTGTCCCCTTGGCTGGAGCCTCCATTGAGTTTGACTGTCCCCTTGGCTGGAACCTCCACAGCTTCTCTGGGAAAAAAAAAAAGGGGCTTTGTAATCTGTTCATAAACCAAACCCAACCCAAACTGCTTTCCATGGTAGATGAAAACGGCCTCAAGTTGTACCAGGGGAGGTTTAGGGTGGATTTTGGGGAAAATCTTCAATGGGAAAGGCTGTCCAGCCCTGGCACAGCTGCCCAGGGCAGGGTGGGACTCACAGCCCTGGGGACATTGAACAGCCATGTGGATGTGGCACTTGGGGACGTGGGTCAGTGGTGGCCTTGGCAGTGCTGAGGGATGGTTGGACTCAGTGGTGTCTGAGGGCTTTTCCAGCCTCGATGGTTCTGTGATTCTATGACATTCCAGCTCTTCCTCTGCTGTAGCACTCAGGTCTAACTGTGTGCTGATGATCTGGGGTGGGGGTGAGTGGGGAGCAATGGCCAGAGGAGGGATGTGAGGGTGGGAGGAAGGATGCAGAGCTGGCCCCTGTTGATGTGCCCACATTAGTTTGCCATCAAGGACACCCCACGGGAGGGACGAGGGACTCTTTTTTTTCTGCCTGTTTAGTGGGGAGATAAAACCAAGCCTGGAGGCACCAAACAGCAGGATAGAGACAAAAGACTGCCATGACTCAGAGAGGTGGGGTGGGAGGGAAGGGATGCTGTCAGCTCCTAAGGACTCCAACAGTCACAGACCTGCCAAGTGTCTCCTGTGGAAACTGCTGTAGCCAAAACCAGGGCTGGGCCTTCTGGGAGAAGAACATTTACTTAAAGCCAATTTCAGACTCATTCTGAGGCTCTTGCTTGCTGAAGGAGCCATAGGGTGTGTCAAAATGACCTGGTGTCAGTGTCCCAGGCCAGGTTGGATGGGGTTTGGAGCAACCTGGGCTAGTGAAAGGTGTCCCTGCCCAGGGTGGGACTGGAGGAGATTTAAGGTCCCTTCCCATTCAAACCCATTCAAACCACTGGATGATTTTGTAGTGTGATCTTTAGGCTTAATCTTCCATCAGTCTGAGGAAGGGGCCTGGCCCTGGCCGTGGTTCTTTCTGTGGCTGCAGCCCATAGAGATAACAGGGAAGGGGAGTGGAGATAACAGGGAAGGGAAGGGGATAACAGGGAGGGGAATGGCCCATCCTGGCTGCTGAAACCTCAGGACCATTCTCTTATCAGTGCAGGGTCTTTTGCTGATTAAATCACCCTGCCCCATATTCAGGCTCTTTCTGGCCCTGTTGAAAACACCAAATTCCTCCCTGTTTCTGATTTGATCACCTTTGATGGTGCATTTGGTTTTATCAGCACCTGGGGCAGCCATTGTTTTATTGCTCTTTGTGCTGCTTTCAGTCAGTCTTCACTCCTGGCATTTGTGCTCCAAGTACCCAGGGGCTGTTCTTGTGGCAAGAAATCTGGGAGAGGTTCCCCTGAGATCCTGAATGCTGGATGACCCCCTGGGACACACAGGGTTGAGGAGCTGTGTGGTCAGGACAGCGTTAATCTGAACAAACCCGCTTGGTTTCGCAGTGACACGACCTTCCCTCGTTTAGAATCTGAACTTTGCCACAGTGCTGCCACGTTCCTCGCTGCAATAACAAGCACAGGCTCGGAACAAGATAATCTCGTAATGTTTTGGGAGATATCTTTTAGCCTGGCTTCGTTTTTCCTTCTGCAGTCGTGTCCAAGGGCGGTGTGAGTGCAGTGCCCATCCTGTGCTCGCTGCCCCTGGGACGAAGGGCAGGGATCAGTGCAGAGGGGCCCAGCCCAAAGCTCTGAGCTTGTTCTGCAGTGACTGTGGGGAAACCTTGGAGAGTGGGACAGGAACCCCAGCTCTGTTCAGGTCAACCTCAGGGCACCCAAGTGTTTCCTCCACGAGCTCAGCTGTCACTTATTGCCACCTGCGCTGACCAGGAGTGCTGTGGGGAGAGGACAGCCTTGCCAGGCTGGGGGAGGGAGGGCATTCCCAGTACACTCACTGTTCACCAGTTCTTGGGGCTGCTGGACTCCCCCAGCCACACAGACAGCGTGGCTTTAACTTCCCAAGGTTTGGGAAGCAGCAGGACACCAGCCCTGCCTCTACAGGAGATTCCATCATTGTCCAGGGCATCTTACCCATGGGAAGCCATTCCCTCTTGTCCTGTCCCTCCATCCCTTGTCCCCAGTCCCTCTCCAGCTCTCCTGGAGCCCCTTTAGGCCCTGCAAGGGGCTCTCAGCTCTCCCTGGATCCTTCTCTTCTCCAGGTGAGCCCCCCCAGCTCTCCCAGCCTGGCTCCAGAGCAGAGGGCTCCAGCCCTGGCAGCATCTCCCTTCCCTCCAGTGCAGGTCACATTTTGCCACCCAGCAGTGCCATAGAAGGGCTGGATCAGCCACATTTGGTGCTGCCACGGACTCAGGACTGCAGCAAAATTTAGATTGTTACTCTTGAAAAGTAGAAAAAATATGTGAAAGCCAGCCAGAAAAGTCCATTCCATAATCAGGAAGGAGGGAACTGTTTTAATTGACGTGTTTTATAAACACGCAACTCTTCCTCCCAGAGCATCTCAGCTGGAGCTGGTGCCAACACTAACAACCTCCAAGTGAGAAATGGAGCTCGGGGAGCTCTTCCCCTTGTGGGCAGGGGCCAGAGCCTGCTGGGAGAGCTGCCCCCCAGGAGCCAGAGCCTGCTGGGAGAGCTGCCCCGGTGCGGTGGGGATGCTGGAGGGGTTGGTGTGGAGAGGAGCAGCCTTGCAGCCCCTGTGCTGGCAGGGTGTCTGTGGGCTGTGGTGGCCGCACAGGGCCCGCTGTGGGTGCCAGCAGTGGGTGCCAGCAGTGGGTGCCAGCGGTGCCAGGCCCTGCTGTGAGTGCAGAGCCGAGCTCTGTGGGTGCTCCCCCAGCCCACAGGGTGGGTTTGCTGTCTCAGGGCCAGTTCCCCCCCGGTGTGCTGTCCCAGCCCCTGACTGCCGTGTCCCCCCAGAGTTCTGCCGCATCGACAAGCCGCTGTGCCACGACGAGGACGAGCAGCTCAGCTTCGAGGCCGTTCGCAACATCCACAAGCAGATGGACGACGACGCCAACGGCAACGTGGACGTGGAGGAGAGCGACGAGGTCAGTGAGGGGCTGCGCTGGGGAAAGGGGGGGTGTTTGTGCTGTCGCCTCAGTGGCTGTGGGGGCTCATTCACGGGGCTCTGTTGGAGGTGAGGAATTCTGTCTTCCAAGGAAAACTGGCATCTAAATGGAAAAGTGCTGGAAGCGGAAAGAAAGCACGTGGGGGAAGGGATCTGCTGCCACTCACAGGCAGTTCTGCACTCCCAGGTCACAGAATCCCACAATGGGTTGGGTTGGGAGGGACCTTAAAGACCATCCATCCCACCCTCTGCCATGGGCAGGGACACCTTCCACCAGCCCAGGCTGCTCCAAGCCCCGTCCAACCTGGCCTGGGACACTTCCAGGGATCCAGGGGCAGCCACAGCTTCTGTGTCCAACCTGTGCCAGGGCCTGCCCACCCTCACAGGGAAGAATTCCTTCCCAATATCCCATCTCTCCCTGCCCTCTGGCAGTGGGAAGCCATTCCCTGTGTCCTGTCCCTCCATGCCTTGTCCCCAGTCCCTCTCCAGCTCTCCTGGAGCCCATTTAGGCCCTGAAAGGGGGTTTCTCACGTAAAGAATTTACCATCATGGAGGTTCAATCTCCCTCCAAACTCACAGCTCAGTCTGTTGGGCAGATCCAGCCATCCCAAGGGCCCCTCAGAGCGGTGTCCTTCCCCAGGGACACAGCCCTCATGTCACAGGAGCTGGTGGAGTTGGGGGCTGTTCCCATGTTGCTGTGCCATTCCTTCTCCCTCAGTCCCCCTTGACAGAGGAATTCAAGCAAATAGAAATCTTCCAGTTGCAGCTCTTCAGATGAGGTGTTTTCCCTGGAGACAGTTCCTTGCTGTGCTGGAGCTGCAGCTTGGCCTGTCACACAGACTCCTGGGGCAGCTTTGGAGTTCACTCTGCGTGTTCTACTCCCCTGGCACTACATTAGGAGTAAGCCCCGTGTTCTCAGGGCTGGGCACAACTGGCACTTCATGTCTCTCTGGGCAAGCCTTGCCCTCGGTGGAGTCATGGAGCTCCTGGTACCAACACTCCCAGGAATGTCTGCTCGGATCTTGGCACAGGGGCACTGCCAGGGTGTGACCAACTCAATGGCTTTTTCTAAAAGGCTCCAGAATCGCTGCCCTGCTGTTACAGCCGTTCTTCCAAGGCCTCCAGGCTGGATCCCAGCAGTGCTGAGCCCTGGGGTGCTGATCCTGCTCCAGCAGCTCCTCTGCTTGTAGGAGGGGCTGAGGAAGGGGCTGGAGCAGCAGGAGGGGCTGAGGGAGCTGGGGGGGCTCAGCCTGGAGAAAAGGAGGCTCAGGGGGGACCTTCTGGCTCTGCAATCCCTGCCAGGAGGGGGGAGCCGGGGGGAGTCGGGCTCTGCTCCCAGGGAACAGGGACAGGAGGAGAGGGAACGGCCTCCAGCTGGGCCAGGGGAGGCTCAGGTTGGATATTGGGAAGATTGTTAATGGAAAGGGTTGTCCAGACCAGTAACATCCAGCCTCAGTGATTCCATGTTCCTTTGATTCCATACTGCTTTAAAGTTGCTGCTTTACCTCTTACTAAGCTTGAACCTTTAATAACAGTTGCATTAAATTCACCTGTCAATGGGCTCTGGAGCCATTGAATGGGGTATTTCAGGAATTTCCCTCCCTGGGCCAGCTCCTGTGGGTTCTCCCTGTCAAGGTTATCTCTCTCCCCCCACATGGACCCTGTAATCAGGTTTAACTCCATGTCTGTGCAGCGGGACAGCTGCCGGGGGATTATTGGGAAGAATGTGGGAGGCTCAAATTTAAACCTTTTATGGGGTTCATGGAATCCCAAGATGGCTTGAGTTGGAAGGGACCTTCAGACTTCAAACAGTGCCACCCCCTGCCATGGGCAGGGACACCTCCCACCAGCCCAGGTTGCCCCATCCCCGTCCAACACTTCCAGGGATGGGCATGACCCTGGCTGGTTGAGGACTTTGTATTTGCATTTATTAACTTGGCCCCTTCTCTTTGGGGTCGAGTGATGGGAAGGTTTTATTTGGATTGAAAGCCCTGACTGGGCAGAAGTGGAGACACAGACAACTGTGGTTTTAAAATATCCAAATCATAGGTGGAATTTTGTTCCACAGCTTTCACACTGTCCATAAATCATCATTACTGTTTTCCTTTCGGGAAGCTAATTTTCAATGAAGTTTCAGATGACATCACTGGCCTCAATTATAAATGAAAGAGCTTTCCCTCTCAGGGAAATCTTCTAAATAGGGATCTATTTCTGCCCTCGTGCTCACTCCAAAGGCAGCTGCAGCTCTTTGGGATGTGGGTTCCCAGTGGCTCTGGGATGTTCTGCCTGCTTCCCTGAGGAAACAAGGTTTGCGTTGCTGCTCCATCGGTCCCTGATCCAGAGCAGGTTCCCTGGGCAGCAGGAGGCCTTGCAGGCAGGAGTTTTCTGTCTCTTGATGGAACTGATGGCTCAGGAAGGCTGTTAAGATTGGGAGCACAGGGAGCTCTGCCGGCACACGGCCGGTCTGGCCCTTGGAAGCGGCACAGCCGGGAGCTGGTGCTGGGGAGGGAGGATGGGCACAGATCCAGGGATGTGGGAGGAATGGGAAGGTTTGAAAAATCATTTCAGTAGTTGCAGTTTCTGCAGATAAAAGCCCACAGAAAACAGAGCTCAAGGAGAGTTTGGGCAGTGCTCCCAGGGACAGGGTGGGATTGTTGGGGTGTACTGGGCAGGGCCAGGGGTTACACTGGGTGGTCCTTGGGGGTCCATTCCAACTCAGGGTATTCTGTGGTTCTATGAAAAGAAACGCTCCAAGAAATCCCATTCCATGGATACACTAATTTCTGAGTGTGCCTTCAGCCAACATATTTGTCCCCAGTCCCTCTCCAGCTCTCCTGGAGCCCCTTTAGGCCCTGCAAGGGGCTCTCAGGTCTCCCTGGATCCTTCCCTTCTCCAGGTGAACCCCCCCAGCTCTCCCAGCCTGGCTCCAGAGCAGAGGGGCTCCAGCCCTCAGAGCATCTCCATGGCTTGCTCTGGACTGGCTCCAGCAGCTCCACATCCTCCTGATGTTGGGGGCCCCAGAGCATCATCCACAGCATTCCCAAGCCAAGTCTTCCCGCTGTGATTTTGGCTCATCCAAGTCGTGTTTTGTAGCTGTGGTTCCGTTCCTGTTGCTCTTGGCTGCTTTGCCCGTGGTTTGTCGTTCCCTGTGCTTGGTGGGAGACTGGGGTTGACTCAGTTTCCGTCTGTTCTTGTGGATTTGCAGCCTGGCCAAGGCTGGGGGTTGTCTCCATAGGATCTCTGGAGATGGTCCATGTGGGAGCTTAGATATGCTGGTCCAGTCCCTTCCCAGGACTCTGAGTTTTGGGTGTCTCCAGGGCTGGGATCAATGGGATCTTTAACACTTGAAAGTGCTGCTTTTTAGTGGTTTGCAAGTAGGTCAGGATTTTATGCAGTGGTTCTTGTGCCTGGGGTTTGGAACATCTGGAAGTCTTGGAGCAGCCTGGGATAGTGGAAGGTGTCCCTGCCCGTGGCAGGGGGTGGAACTGGGTGGTCTTGAAGGTCCCTCCCAACTCAGACCATTCTGGGATCCTTTTCCCCAGAAGGTACACAGGAAAAATCTGCTTTAAGGTCTCCCTGGGCTTTGGTGGGAGCAGCCCAGCTCCTGCAACCCCATCCCCATCCTGCACCCTCCATCCCACCCGTTTTCCGGATGGTGTCCCCACCCCCAGCTCCATCCCCTCTGCCAGTCCTTGGGGGGTTTGTTTTGGGACCGTGCTCCGAGGGGAAGCTGAAGGGATCACTTTTCCCTGCTGTGCTCCCCGAGCTAAATATAGCGAGCAGCAGCTGATCCCTGCTCCCCAGCAGCTGATCCCTGCCCCGGCGGGTGACACGGTGACATTGCCGCGTTCCCGCGCGGTCACCAGGGGACCCACCGGGAGGGCTGTGCTGCTGGGAGGGCCCTTTTCCCAAACGTTCCCGTGTGCCATGTTCCCTGCACGGCGGGAAGGGCTGCCCCAGCTCTGGGCAGCCAGGGCAGGAGAGCAGAGAGGCCCCAGGCTGGAGCTGGGGTGGATTTGCAGGGAGCCTGGAATGTTACGGCTGTCCCGGAGCTTTGCCCTGCCCTGTCTGCTGTTAAAGCTCCATCTCCACACCTCAAGAGGACTCCCCTGTGGATGTAATCCCATTGCACGTGGAAGGGCCCGGGGCAAAGCCACCTGCGTGAGGATCGTGCCCTGGGTGGTGTGGGAATGGGAAATTATCCCTTCATTTGGTTCCACCTGTTGGGCACTGGAAAGTGAGTGGTCCTGCTGGTGGGGATTTCACAGGCTGGGTTGGGTGGGAATGGACCTTAAAGCCCCTCCAGTGCCACCCCTGCCATGGGCAGGGACACCTTCCACCAGCCCAGGGTGCTCCAAACCCCGTCCAACCTGGCCTGGGACACTTCCAGGGATCCAGGGGCAGCCACAGCTGGGATATATGTATTTATTGGGATATATGTATTTATTGGGATATATGTATTTGTACATATTTCGCAGTGGAATTCCCTCCTCTCCCGTCCATGGCATTTGTTCCAGCTTGGATTTGAAAGGTGCAGGTCAAACCAAGTAATAATGTTTTAAATTCTTATTCCAATGACACAAACCTGGCTCCGTTGTACCACTTACCTGGACTTTTGGTGAGATTATAATTCAAACCAAAAATGAGGTTATAATTATTTATTATACCTAATCTGTATGAAAATAATGGAACATATTTACTAACTGAATATTTCCTGGCTGGTCTTCCCAGGAACTGAAATCCTCAAGGGTATGTTCATACATATGTTCATATGTATGTGAATGTTCATACCCAGTTTGATCTGTCAGTTTAGGCCAGCAGCTAAAAATATTTAACTAAGGATTTTATTAGAGAGAAATACAAGTTTATGTATGTTATTATAATAGATGATTTATATAATATATTTATAGAATAGCTTGTGTTATTATTGTTGTTGTTACTGTTATTGTTTTGTTGTGTTTTTTTTTTTCCTTCAGGTGTTTTTAATGCTCCTCATGCCTCTAAAAAATAAACCAAAGCCTAATCTTGCTGTTTATTCCTCTCATAGTTCTTGAGGGAGGACTTGAATTACCACGACCCAGCAGTCAAGCACAGCACCTTCCATGGAGAGGACAAGCTCATCAGTGTGGAAGATCTTTGGAAGGCCTGGAAAACATCTGAAGGTAAAAAAAGGCAAACAAGCATAGAAACCCTTTCCCAACAGGGCCAAAGAGGTTTGGATACTCTGGGAAGAGCTCCCAGAAGGAATGTGCTGCTGCTCTTCCTGCCCTGCAGCAGTGCTCTCAGGGATTCCTTTTCTTGGGGTGGATTTTCGGGATTTCCTCACTTCCAAACTCTTGATGCTGCACCTGAGCATGGCCATAAAAGTATAAATTGTTTTGTTTCTCCACCCTAAAATGTGTGTTAAATAAGGCCAGATGCTCTCCAGTTCCAGGTTCTCTGTCAAACTCCCAGTTTCAGCTGGCATTTTAATGGAATAATTACATCCTACATATTCACTGGAGCTGCGTGGGAGTTTTCCTGCAGGTTGTGTTTTCCTGCAGGTCGTGTTTTCCTTTGCAGAAATTTTCTGAACCTGAAAAGCTCCTTCAGGTAGTGAAGGGAAAACAGAATAAAGTCCTGGAAGTGAAAGTGTCCTAAGTCCAGTCCATGCAGAAATAACTTCAGACTGTTCCCAAACGGTGTTATTCATCCCAGGAAATCCCCTGGGGGGATATAACAGCCCTGTGGATGTGGCCCTTGGGGCCGTGGGTGAGTGGTGGCCTTGGCAGTGCTGGGGAAGGGTTGGGCTCAGTGGTCTCCAAGGGCTCTGCACCCTCTGGGATCCTGTGACCCCCCAGCTCTGAGGAGCCTCCTGTGCCCAAGAACGGCTCCTGTAAGAAATATTTATCCCATTACAAGGCTGTTTACAGATGGCCTTGTCTGGAGTATATTTTAGTGTCGGCTGGGAAAGGGCAGAAATCATTAAGGGATGGAGGAGAACATCCCATGATACTCCCCAGGTCCCTTAATTGCCGAGCTGCTCCTGGCAGACACGGACGTGCCACGGCTTTGGCAGAGCTGCTCTGGCATCACAGTTTCCCAGGGCTGGACTGAGTTCCTGCTCTTGTTTTCCCATTCATCATCCTGTAGGTCTGGCTGATAAAATAAACATCTAGAGGATGGTTTGATATCCTGGCATCGCAAAAGGTTTGGGTTGGAAGAGACCTTAAAGCCCATCCTGTTCCGCCCCCTGCCATGGGCCACCCCCTCCAGCAGACCAGGTTGCTCCAAGCCCCCTTCCAGGCTGGCCTGGAACACTTCCAGGGATATATGCAGCCTAATCTTGGAGCTTGAACTTCAGTCAGAAAACTGGAATCAGGCTTGTAGGGAAGGTCTGCTCCTTCCTGTGGGTGTGGGAAGCTGCTGTGAAGGGGCAGGGCAGCTGTGCCCATTGCAGCTGTTTCCAAGCCTTGCCTTTCCTCCCTTCCATTGATACTGTTCCTGGACACCTGTGGAAAGTAAAAAGTTATTTCTTCCCCTTAATTATCCAAAAATATAAAGGCTGTGATGCTCTTACGAGTATTATACCTGACAGGTGAAGCCCTGGGTGAGCCTGGCTCTACCAAAGCCACAGAAGTACCAGATCAGCCCATTTTGGCAGGACAGGGACCTGCTCATCTTGGCAGGTGTGCCTGCTTCCAGATCAGTTCTCAGGGATTTCTTCCCAAAATAAACACCTCTGGAGATGGCACCTTCCTTTGGAGCCTTGCTGTCTTTGGTCAGTGCTGGGCTCACTCTGTCATCTCTCCCAGCACCCCCGGCTCCCTCAC